GGTGGCACAGAGAAGGGGGGCTGTGGGGTATATCGGGGGGTGGGTGGCACAGAAAAGGGGGGCCATGGGGTATATCGGATGTTGGTGGCACAGAGAAGGGGGGCTGTGGGGTATATCGGGGGGTGGGTGGCACAGAAAAGGGGGGCCATGGGGTATATCGGATGTTGGTGGCACAGAGAAGGGGGGCTGTGGGGTATATCGGGGGGTGGGTGGCACAGAGAAGTGGGGCTGTGGGTTATATTGGGGATCGGTGGCACAGGGAAGGGGGGCCATGGGGTATATCGGGGGGTTGCACAGAGAAGGGGGGCTGTGGGGTATATCGGGGGGTTGCACAGAGAAGGGAGCCCTGGGGTATATTGGGGGGTCAGTGCCATGGAATATGGGGTGCCATGGGGTAGGGTTGGGGGGCTCAGTGCCAGGAGATAAGGGGGGCTGCCCCAGGTGAAGAGGGCGACCTTTTGTGACCTCTGCCCCCCGTCTTCCACTGGCCCTCCAATACCCCCCCATCCCCTACAGCTTTGACCCTCCTAGTTTGTCAATGAGCCCCCCAAAATCACAGTCTAGGGATGGGCGGGGTGGGTCCCCAATAACTGGATGTTGGGGGCCTGCCTGGGTTGGGGGGCAGGGGAGGAGCCAGGGAGTGGGGGCAGAGGTTCCTGTAGGGGGGACCCCTCAAGGAGATGCAGGGCATGATAGGAAGGGGGGTTCCTGGTGTCTCCACCCCTGTCCCCCCCAAAGCATGGAGGGCAGTTGCCATGGGAACAGGGGGAGAAATGAGGAGGATGGAAAAATAGGGGGTAAAGGAGGGAAACTGAGGGAGAAAAGGGCAGAGCTCCCCCACAACTGCCCCCCACTTCCCCACACACCCCACTACTTCCAGCTCCCCCTCCCATCCCCCCTCAGCCCTCCATGACACCCTGAGACCTCCAAAGCCCCACATTCCCCACTGTCCCCCCATTCCTCTAACCCTCTCACAGCTCCCCCAGCCTCTTCCGAAGCCCCATATCTCCCCATTGCCTGCCCCCCACCCAGACCCCATCACCCCCAGGCCTTCCCACAACCCCCTCAGCCCCCTGTCACCCTACAAGCCCTTCATCCCTCCCCCAGTCCCCTGGCTGCATCTCAGCGCCGGGCAAGGGGACCCTGGGTAACCAGCCGCCCCCGAGGTGGGCGCATCTCAGCGCTGGGCGAGGGGACCCTGGGTAACCAGCCGCCCCCGAGGTGGGCGCATCTCAGCACTGGGCGAGGGGACCCTGGGTAACCAGCCGCCCGCCCCCAAGGTGGCTGCATCTCAGCACTGGGCGAGGGGACCCTGGGTAACCAGCCGCTCCGCCCCCGAGGTGGCTGCATCTCAGCGCTGGGCGAGGGGACCCTGGATAACCAGCCGCCCCCGAGGTGGGCGCATCTCAGTGCTGGGCGAGGGGTCCCTGGATAAACAATGCATGTATGTGACCTGGGGGTGTGAGTGTGTCATTATTTCTGGCATCTCAGTATATGCTGGGAGCAGGTGGGACACAAGGTTTGTCAGCCAGGACTCCTGGGTTATGTCTCTGGGAGGGGAGGGGGGACTAGTGCAGGTGGGGCTGGGAGCCCGGACTCCTGGGTTCTCTCCCCCGGCTCTGGGAGGGGAGTGGGGGCTGGTGGTCAGAGCAGGGGAGAGGGGCTGGGAGCCAGGACTCCTGGAGTCCATCACTCTGCCAATAATTTTTAATCTGCGCCTCAGTTTCCCCATCTTGCAACTGGCGATCTTTACCCTTCCTTTGTCAGTTTAGGGGGTGAGCTCTTTGGGGCGGGCACAGAGGTGCAGTATGGAGGCCCTGATCTCAGTCTGGGGGGGGTCTGCGCCGCGCCCAGCGTTTTGGGGCCCCCCATCTCAGTCAGAGTCCCTAGGGGTTACTGTAATACATTGTGCTAACGCTGCATTCTCCCTGCAGGCTGGTTTGACCCCGGGAAGGGGGAGGGGTGGCAGGTGTATCTGGGGGGCCACCGTGACAGCCTGGTATCCCTCCCCCGCTCAGACACGTGGGCCCATCTACCCTGGTATCCCAGCCCCTCCCGAGCCCACAGTCAGACCCGCTGGCCCATTTAGCATCAGATCCAACCCCCGCTTCCTGCTGCCCAGTGATATCAGTAATAACGTGCTGAAACCGACAAGCTGCTAGGTGGCCTTCGTATTCTCCGTCCATTGATCCCCGGACTGCCCCTTTACCTGCCTGCCTCCCTGCCTCTCTATCTATCTATCCCCATCCACCGCCTCTATCTACCTATCTATCTATCTATCTATCTATCTATCTATCTATC